CCCATTCAGTTATGGCGAAACACGCCTCGAATTTCAAAACGCCGAAGAAGTTTCGCGTAAAACAAGACTTCAGTTCCGCATTATTCACCCCAAAAACTGTGACCAAAGCAGACAGAGAAGAATTAAAAAAAAATAAAAATGAGACGGCAACTCGCGATCTATCAATATGGATCAGAATTGCATCCCGAGCAACCCACATATTTTGATCCTGACGATTGGATTCAAATTTCCTTCTCTGAATCTTCTCCCTCAGAGAGGAGTTGTTCACAGAGCTGCCCACATGGTTCCGAGGGTTCTTCTTCGGATGCTTCTTCTCGAGACTTTCAGAGTGAAACCTTTAATAATATTTCGAGTTTCTTTCAAGATAAGATGAAGGAAATAGGGGCGGGCTTGCCATCAAACTGGTCTCCCGAAGAGTTTACTCGGATGGTGATTGGGGAAGAGGAGGAATAACTTGACTTTCTTGTGAATCTTTATCAGCAAAAGTGGGTTGGTTATTCTATTTGCATTCTCTGATAGAAAGCATCCCCGAGCACTTACTATTCACAACGACGCATTCTCAGATAACATGTTATCTCCCCACGAATTCGTCTATTTCATAACCTCTCCCGACACTTTGTATTCTCTGGCATACTCGATTCATCCGTCTGAACTTGAGGCCTAAATCTTCTTCATCACTCTCACTCTCCGATGCGCTCTCACTAGACTTTTGATTTAATGTCTACGCCGCCTCGATTCACTCAGATTTAATGGTTTGGTAACCTGCAACATCTTTGGTTCGGCTAGCTTTCATTTTTTTGATCGAAGTCGGTTGTCTTATTAATCGATTGGAACTCGTAGCTCCAACTATGTATTCCCACTGCCCTGACATGGACAACTTCGCTTTTACCTAGGTTTATTCACGAAGCATAGGGCATACTTTCTATATAATTTATGCTTTCGTCCAGCCGGAATCTTAACTGGACGTCTATTGAAAAGGACGGTAAATTGAGAAAAAAAGCATTTCATTAAAAAAAAGAGTGGATTCTTGAGGTTACATTCCGCTATAGTAGCTTGACCAACGTGAAAGTGGAACAAGTGCATGCCCCATACACGAAATTGAATATTAGAGTATAAATCTCATATCGGTATGAGGCTTCCAGTCGAATATCTGACTCCGCCTATCACTTTATTCTGCTTCCATCATCTCTTTCAAGAAGCCAACTCAATCAAGAAGCCAACTCAATAGCTTCTTTTAGAACCGCTATGCCCTCTGCTGCAACTGAGCTAGTTATTGGGAACAGATGGGGACTACAAGCGAAGCTTCGCTTGCTTATACCACGTAATTCAACCTCAACAGGAAGGCAAATGGTAAGATCCGGGTAAGAGGTTTCGCAGATCTGCTTATTACTGTACCAAACAACAAGACGAAAGCGTCAAAGGCGAAGCCATGGCGTCACACAATTATCATACAAAATTCTCATTAAGCCACTGTGAGAGAAGGTTGCTGATCGACGATAATAGGTAGCTTGCAACTATAACATAAAGTGGACGAGCTGACTCAGTGGAGCCTAAAAATAGCACAAGGTAGTACTAGAAATGATATACAGATGAGATCAAAGGATGGATACACGCACGGAGGGAACCAGAACCGGGATAAGCCGCCCTTATTGGGCGCGGTAGAAGCTTACTCTGTAGTTGGTCTGAAGGAGGTGTTCCACTTCTCACCATCGATTATGATTCGTATTGCCGAAAGTGGGTAAATATGAGCCTAGGTTATGAAATAAAAGCTATTAAGTAAAGGTTACGCAGCGGTTATGTTCAAGCGGGAGTTCCGTGGATGTGGAGGAGGGGGCCGAGCTGAACATGGAAAAACAAGGCCAATCGGTCATGGTATCTTCTGTAGCCCCAATTCAATCAGTATGTCTGTCCATTCTATGGAGTAAAGAAGCAAAACAAGAAAGTGTCGTTTCGCACGTAGGTAAACTAGAATTGTGTCGGACCGGACACCCTTTTCTGACCTAAAATGCCCATGATAAATTTTACGCGTAGGTAGAATAGAATTGTTGCAGAATGCGACACGGCCGTAGGGAAGGCATTGATAGAAATTGGCCCTAGGCACCGACGAAGGAGGTGGTGAGTAAGGCGACGCACCGACGGCTACAAAGGAGAGTTGCGAACGAAGTGAGTAATGTAGGTTACGAAGGCGCCGACGAAGGAGGAGTGAAGGTGGATGACATGTTTGCACTCGCAACGATGTCCTGGGCATATTTTCCTTGATTCACAAAGGTGCTACCTTCTTTCTTATAATATAAGAAATCCGCAACCCTAAGTGGGGGCACCCCTGTCTTTCATCTCAAAGACTTCACCCAAGTCACTGATAACAGATTGTGGAATCTTCTCATCAGAACCAGTAATTATAATGTCATCAACATACAGTAATAGAACCCCTATAGCTTCATGTGAGTGTTTAAGCTAAGATGGTAAACCTTGAATCCTAAAGTTCAAGCCTGTGAACTTCTCCACGCCCTTGGGTCCTGTTTAAGTCCATATAGATAAGGACTTTTGAAGCTTACAAACAAAATTAGGATGTTCACTATCCTCAAAAACCTGAGGCTGCCTCATGTAGACTTCTTCTTTTCATTCTCCACGGTTTTTAACATCTAACTGTCTAAGCTTCCAACCATTTGTAGCAGCTAAAGCCAAGATAAGCCTCGCAGTTGTGTGCCTAACAACTGGTCTCCTCATAGTCCAGACCTAACTCTTGACTGTATCCTTGTGCAACTTTCTCGACCTTAGAGTACCTCATCTCTGTGTCCAATAAGGTCTTACTGGTGAAGTAGACCGGCTTCTCCTGTCCCCCATCCCAGCGGAATAGGACAGAGCTAATTGAGGACTCTGTTGCTGCTAGGTACAGACCTAGGACCTCGTGGGGGACCGGCGTGGATATGATAGGAGGCTTACCGGGATCTTTTTTGAGGGGTTGAAAGGCTTCTTCGCAGTCAGACGTCCACTCAAATGTGGTATTCTTCTTCAGGAGCTGAAAAAGAGGTCGACACTTGTCTGATGATCTGGATATGAACCTGTTGAGGGCTGCGACTCGTCCATTATGCTTGCCCGAGGATCCTCTTCGGTTGGCATGCTATCTCAAGAGAACGAGGAGAGTAGGACTGAAAAAGGAGTTTGTTACTCGGAAATTGGGGAATAATCTCCTTGAGAGAGGGTATCAGATGTTTTGCCATGATGGTGATGACGAAAGTCTGTTAGTTTGGGCCTAGGCCTTTCAGAAATCAGTATACCTTGTGCGTCTCGGGCACAGGACATCCTATCGCACACAAGACTAACATATTATCTTAAAGTGTCTAGCACGCGCACCTGACTACACGGAATTTAATTTTGAACTCCTTATCTCGAAGCCGTGGGCGTTCCACCTGTTTGCATTCGTTGATGCCTGCGTCTTCGACCTTTCTTTGCAAAAAGGGAAGGGAGCCTTTCTGTAACGGCGACAGAGGGTGTTGCCGGAAGTTGTTTTGAAAAACAACATAAATACAACTTCTTCTACGATATTTCGGGCGAGCATAAGCCATTGGGTCAGTCGGTCACTGCGGCTTATGCTCGCCCACATTTTCTTAAATTTTTTACTGTAACTATCTTCTCCTTATCCTTAATTTATAAATAAGGATCTGAGCCATGAGCGGTCTATTGATCAAGAGTCCCGCTTAGTCCGTCACCTCGTCTTCACTGAACACCTACCCACTCGCCTCCGAGACTTTCTTACCTCTCCGAGAATGGAGGTACTCGATCGTTTTGGGAACGTGAGGGGGGAGGACACTTTAGGAGAAGTGACCCGATGCACGTGGGGGAACGGCTCTATCTACCTGAAGCTAAGCATAGAGCTTGCTGGCAGCACTTTGACTTCGACAAAAATTAAGTTTAGTACAGGCTAGGTAGAGGAGTTGTTGACCCCGACACTCTTACTCTTCAGTTATGTGTTCTCTGTTGGTTGGCTTGCCGCTCTAGCTGAGTGCCTTTGATTATCATTGGCCGATAGGGATAGTCCCTTCCCTTTCTTCACGTCACCGCACTGAATTCTATGCACTTCACTTACGTTCTTTACTCTAGTCCTGTCATTCTTCTGAGAGCAAGGGTCCAACATATCCGGAAAATAAGGAGGATTCCTCGCCCGCGCTTCGCGCGATACCATAAACATTTTTATATTTGTTTTTCTTCTCTTAACATCAGTTTAACTCATCTTTCATCCACTCCCCGATCGGCAGCGTGCGGGGCGGGTCGGCGTCCGGGAGCTCCGCCCAACCAACCCAACCCTATTACAGGACCACTAAACTCCTGTTCTAGCTCTTTTTTTAGGCCCTTCAGGCGACAATGGAACATGGCTAACCCATGCATCCACGTTCAGGAATAGCAGTTCATTCGATCAATGACGAGCAGAGGAAGCATTATGTCTTCCAAACCTTTTCTGATCCCGGATCACTGTGATGAACGAACATCGGTGCGGGCTCAAGTAGTTTAGTAAACGGGTGTCAGTATGAAAGATGGATCAAATCCTCGCGGTGAGGAGGCAGCTTAGTCTCCGTAGTTAATCTCTCTCTTTGGGCGCAGAACTGTAAATCTGTCTTTCTCTGCCTAGACCCAAACCAGCCGGCAACTGGAGAGAGGCAGAATGAATCAACACCCCCCGGATCTACTAACCAATGCAACCGGGAAACCTTCTATCAAAAGTTCTGAACTAGCATCCGAAGCTAGGCGGTACTCTGCCTTGTATTGCCGTTGCTTGGATTAGGGAAGAAGGAAGGGCTTACACCAGAACTCGTTGATCTGATCTTCTATGCCGGGGAAGGAGGAGTCGATAGAGAGAGCTTCGGATCGAATCTTTGGAATCTCATCTCTAGAGGCAGTATCTTTCTCTAGTTCCGCGAAATCCATGCGAATCCATATGCAAACAAAGGTAGCTGGAACATTTCTTTTTTTGGGGGGCCGAATGGCCCAAAACAAAAAAGAAACTATCTAATTACCTCTCTGGGTCGAGCATACCCAAGAGAGTCTTCAAACAGAAAAGGAATACAACCAGGAGGAGGACTTTGCGATTCAAAATAACCCAGGTCATAAGTCAATCCAATGCTTGCCAAGTAGTCTGCAGAGAAGTTCTTCTCCCTATAGATATGGGAGAGCTTGCAATGCCAGTCCATCTTCAAGTAAGCTTGGCAGCCACGGATCAGGGTGTGGAGAGGATGGAGAGAATTATCCTGCTGATTAACAAGAGTCACAACAGTAGCAGAATCCACCTCCACCTCAACAGATCTAAAACCTCTCATCCAAGCCAAGCGTAATCCAAAAAAAAGGCCCCAAAGTTCTGCAGCTATAATTTTGCCCTTCCCAAGGTTGGCAGTGAACCCAGAAATCCAGTTCCCATTATTATCTCTCAAGAGACCACCAGCACCAATAGATCCGCTGGGACCCTTCATGCAACCATCAATATTCACCTTAATCCASTTTGGTGGGGGGGGGGGATCCCAAGCTAGATAAGCTTCAACTCGAGCTGGTTTAGAATGCAAGGATGTAGTGGCCAGTCGCCATTCCCTGGCATAGTTCCAAATGCARATCTGGGGAGGTTGATCYGGGTCAAAAATTTCAAGATTTMTCCACCTCCACAGGAACCAGCAACATAAACCAAAAACTTGACCCCAACACAAATGAAACCTGGTTTTTTGGTTGGAAGATAGATTGACYTTGAGCCATTAAGGGCAAATTAAAGGAGTTGACCAARGAGGGATGCCAAGACCATCCAAAAGAGATTTGGCCCTAGTACARCCCCTCATGCAGTGAATAYTGTCTTCCCAGGTGCATCCACAGTGACTGCAAGTARGGTCATTGGTCATCGATCTTCTAAACCTCTGAGCATTTGTAAGCAGCTTATTCTGCCCCAACAACCAGAAGAAAGCTTTCACCCTGGGTGGGAGTTGTATTTTCCATAGGAAGCTTCCCTCCCAGTCAGTTTGTACATCAAGGGAGGCTGCAAGGTTGTAAGCAGTTTTAACAGAGAAGGTTCCATTAGTCGAACCCTGCCAGATGTATCTATCATCATCAGAATCAATAAGTCCAGCAGGGATCCCAATAATCTCTTCCACAATATCATTAGGTAGCACCTCTCTCAGCTTGTTAACATTCCATTGGCCATCGGATAGAAAAGAAAATAAGCAACTTTTTCCTCCTCATTTATCTGAGTATTGGGGATCAAGGCAACATCTTTCAAATTTATTTCAGAGAAAGTCTTAGCCCATAAGCCCTCATCCCTTTGAATCATTCTCCAACTGGCTTTGGCAAGAAGGGCCGAGTTCATAGCATTCATTTGTTTCAGGCCTAGGCCCCATTGACTTTGGGACAACAAACCTGGCTCCATTTAACTAGGTGCACCTTGGCTTTATCCGCAGAACCTCCCCATAAGAATCTTTTATTCAGTTGATCCACCTTCTTGCACACACTTGCTGGCAATTTGACTGTCTGCATGGCATAGATGGGAATAGCAGATGTAACAGACTGTATCAGGGTTGCACGACCAGCTAAAGATAAGGATTTGGCCTTCCAAGAGGCAAGTTTACTTTGCACCTTTTCAACAATTTCCCTGTAAGTACTCTTGGTAATTCTGGAGTGAATTAAGGGGACACCAAGGTACTTGCCAAGGTCCTTAGCGAGAGGGGACCCACAGATCAAGCTTATATTAGTAGCAATGTCAGAATGGGTGTTGGGAGAACACAAAAAAAGGGATTTCTCAAAACAAATTTTCTGCCCAGAGGCTTCACAGAAGGTCTCAAGGCAGTTCAGCACAATTTCTGTTTCCTAGAGGCTTCTGCAAAAAGAATTATGTCATCAGCAAAAAAGAGGTGAGAAATAGCAGGGCCCCTCCTAGATACCTTAACAGGTTTCCACTTTCCACAATTCACAGCAGCTTGAATCAACTGAGAGAGTTTTTCAACACATAGCAGGAACAAATAAGGGGACAGGGGGTCACCCTGTCTGACACCCCTAGCAGGCTTAAATTTCTCAGTAAATTCCTTATTTAGAATGATTTGGAAGTCAACAGAGGTCTTCAATTAAGCGCAAAAGTTTCCCAGAGATTCGAATATCCTTCAAACAAGTGATAATGAAGCTCCATTTTAATCTGTCATAGGCTTTGGCAAGATCTATCTTCCAAGCCATGAATCCTCTTCGACCTTTGGTTCTTCTGAAAGTGCGGAGAACCTCCTGGGCAATGACAATATTGTAAGTGATTTGCCTTCCAGGAATAAAGCTTGCTTGGCAGGGGCTAACTAGTTTACCCATCGGAGGCCTCAGTCTGTTGACAATGATTTTGGTGATACATTTGTAGATGGTGTTACACAGGGAAATTGGTCTGAATTGGGCCATAGAGAGGGGGTTCTGCACTTTAGGCACCAAGGTAATCAGTGTGCTGCCAAGACCATCAGGAATGTGCCCATGATCAAAACATTTTTCCACTAGTTTGAAAACATCTTCACCACAGAGATTCCTAGCTGGAACATTTATTAACCTCACCCTTCTTCCCCTTAGAGCTTATGGCTCGGACCCCCCTGTACCACCAAGGCAGACAGATACGTCTCCTGGCCCTTGCGCAAGCCTTTCTTCAGCAGCATGGCGGAAACCATTATACTAGCTCCTACTTTGCCTTCACAACCGGCACATACAAGGCGCCTTGTCATCCATAATGCAAAAGGAATTCAGGCGGGATGGGGGCACTGCCCTCGCCCTGCGAAGGAACTCCAGTCCCAAGACCACAAATCATCGAGTTGCACCGTTGGCTCGGCCTGACCAGCCAGCCATCCGGATCGACAGGCACGCCCCTCGCAAGTCCCACCAGTAAGTGGAGTATTCTATAATCCTTCCGTCCCGTGCCCGCAGTAGACTTGAGTTATATAACCCTCCGTTCGGTCTGGCTAGTATAGTATCCTTCGCCTATTTGTATTTCTACAATCATGCTTACCAATATGCAACTGACTGAACAGTACAGGCAGGACGGCTTTGCTTAAGACCGGAATGTTACCCCCGCTCGAAAGAGTTCGCCCATCATCCTTTCCCTTGCGGGGACATGTTACCATGTATCCAAACGGAGAAGCAGAAGAATAGGATTGAGATTGCCAAAGACCTTTTTTGGGAAGTCAAAAACAGTAGCAGTTGGGGACGCCTAGTCCATCATACTATAGTGGTCTTATATATAGTTAGTGTCGGCAGGAATGGAACAGAAATCTCGTATATGAACTAATTTTAGTATATATAGTAGTGAAAAAGTGCTTTCTTTGTTTGAAGGCTTCAAGTGAGGATCAAACCATCGCATCACCAAAAGGTGCTCGGGTGTACCTTAGAGCAACGAAAACGAAGACTTTCGAGAACAAATATTGGACCGGGAATAAAAAGGGGTAAAGTAAAGTCTAAGCGCATATGGCACGAAAAGGAAATCCGATTTCGGTAAGACTTGATCTTAATCGTAGTTCAGATTCAAGTTGGTTTAGTGATTATTATTATGGTAAATTAGTGTATCAAGATGTCAATCTGAGGTCTTATTTCGGTTCCATACGTCCACCTACGAGACTTACTTTTGGCTTTCGTCTCGGTACGTGTATTATTCTACATTTTCCCAAAAGAACATTCATTCATTTCTTTCTTCCCCGTCGACCACGACGACTGAAACGACGCGAAAAATCCAGACCCGGAAAGGAGAAGGGCCGGTGGTGGGCATTTGGGAAAGTCGGGCCGATCGGGTGTCTTCATTCAAGCGGCGATACAGAAGAAGAACGAAACGAAGTGAGAGGCCGGGGGTCCGGGAAAAGAGTCGAGTCGATCAGGCTCGACGACCGGGAGAAGCAAAACGAAATTAGGATTTGGCCGAAAAAGAAGCAACGCTATGGATACCATGACCGATCACCATCGATAAAGAAGAATCTTTCTAAATCACTTCGGGTCAGCAGGGCCTTCAAGCATCCGAAATACGCCGGGGTTGTAAATGGCATAGCGTTCCTGATAGAAAATGACGACCCCTTCAGAAAAACTAAGTTATTCAAGTTCTTTTTGCCAAAGAAGTCCCGCTCCGACGGCTCGACGAGTCATCTACTTAAAAGGACCCTCCCTGCAGTGCGCCCCTCCTTCAATTATTCGGTCATGCAATACTTATTGAATACAAAGAACCAAATGCATTTCGACCCCGTCGTAGTTCTCAATCATTTCGTGGCACCGGGCGTGGCTGAACCATCTACGATGGGAGGAGCGAATGCACAGGGAAGAAGCTTAGATAAGAGAATACGTTCTCGCATCGCTTTGTTTGTAGAAAGCTCGACCAGCGATAAAAAGTGTTTGGCCGAAGCCAAAAAGAGGTTGACCCGCTTCATTCGCCAAGCGAATGATCTTCGCTTCGCGGGAACAACAAAAACCACCATCCCGCTCTTTCCTTTTTTCGGTGCTACCTTTTTCTTTCCAAGGGATGGGGTTGGGATGTATAATAACCTTTTTTTTGAGGATGCCCGGGAACAACTCCTAGGTCAATTAAGGATCAAATGTTGGAACCTCATGGGTAAGGATAAGGTAATGGAATTGATAGAGAAATTCATAGACCTAGATAGGATAGGAGAATTGATAAGGGGAATAGAGATGATGATAGAGATCATACTGAGAAACAGACAAATTCCGTGCGGGTACAACTCTTATTTGAACGAAGTGAAAAAAATGCGATCTTTGTTGTCTAATAGAACAAACACTAATACCTTAATTGAGTCGGTCAAGATCAAATCTGTTTATCAAAGTGCTTCTCCGATTGCTCAAGACATCTCTTTTCAACTGAGAAACAAAACAAGATCATTTCGTTCCATTTTTAGTAAAATAGTGAAGGATATTCCATTAGTAATGAAAAAAGGGGTTGAGGGGATCCGTATATGTTGTTCAGGTCGATCAAAAGGCGCAGAAATAGCTAGAACTGAATGCGGAAAGTATGGAAAAACATCTCGTAATGTATTTAACCAGAAAATAGATTATGCTCCTGCGAAAGTATCTACTCGTTACGGAATCTTAGGTGTCAAAGTGTGGATTTCATATAGTAAGAAAAAGTCCATATGATTATGATTTTTATAAAAACTTGTATTTCACTTTAAGTCCGGTTGAATATGAATATGGGGCAACGCCCATGGTCCACACAGTAATAAATGTTTCAACTATGTATTTGTATTTAAGCTTAACCCTCGTTATTGGCGTTGGCGCTTTTTCTTTACATAAAAAAAGGGAAATAGAGCTTTTGCCTGCCAGGCCACCTCTCTCTTTTTTTACTTTTACTTTGAATATGATTTTTATTTTGTTGTGCTTAAACGGCACCGTAGCCGCCTGCGACGGTAGAATTTCTTCTCCGGCTCCGGCGGTAGGTTTACATCCGGAGGTTCCCGCCGACACCGGTGTTCCCCAAGGGGCACCAGTGCAGATTGATGAAATCCCGCCGGAAGTTCCGCAGCTATACCGGCCTTTAATGGGCGATGCTTTTCGGACGAGAGAACTTCATCTACGGTTAGGGTTGTATTTCATGGGTCGAAACACTTGGCGGGATAACTGCGTATTGTTGGGGATCCTGGAAAAGCAGGTGCTGGTAGAAAAAAAGATAGAAGCAGCATTGGTGCACGATGGATATAACCCGATTAGTGTTGTAATAAAGAGACACGAAATCCGGACAATCCTCTTTAACCACCCGACTAGGGCGAGCGTGCTTTCTGAACGTACCTTAGATAGTTTTTTGGACCAAATCGCAAGAAATGGCACTCGGCAGAGCATTCCGGGTGGTGAGAGCAATTCATAATTTTGATCTCTGGCTGTGACTCCTTCTTTCTCCCATGCTTTCCGTTGGTCAACAACCAACCACAGCTCTCTATAGTTCTTCACTACTCGTACAGGAAGGTAAGAACTACTTTTTTTCTGGAGGGAATCATTTTTTTTCAATCAAGAATGCCTCAACTGGATAAATTCACTTATTTCACACAATTCTTCTGGTCATGCCTTTTCCTCTTTACTTTCTATATTCCCATATGCAATGATGGAGATGGAGTACTTGGGATCAGCAGAATTCTAAAACTACGGAACCAACTGGTTTCACACCGGGGGAACAACATCCGGAGCAACGACCCCAACAGTTTGGAAGATATCTTGAGAAAAGGTTTTAGCACCGGTGTATCCTATATGTACTCTAGTTTATTCGAAGTATCCCAATGGTGTAACGCCGTCGACTTATTGGGAAAAAGGAGGAAAATAACTTTGATCTCTTGTTTCGGAGAAATAAGTGGCTCGCGAGGAATGGAAAGAAACATATTAGATTTGATCTCGAAGTCCTCATATAGCACTTCTTCCAATCCTGGATGGGTGATCACTTGTAGGAATGACATAATGCTAATCCATGTTCCACACGGCCAAGGAAGCATCATTTTTTAATCTCACTATGACTTGGTCGTTAGGAAGAGATTCTTTCTCGATCAGAATAGTGGAATGGAAGGCACTACAAGAAAGATATACCCCTTTTCAAATCGCCCCGCGAAGACGGACGTTCAGAAAGGTTATTGAGATTATCAATCTTTTTAGTGGGGAGGAATAGTGCGGGAAGGGAGCGAGACCAAGCCGAGCCACTAGGAGAGTAAGCCCTTCCCACGTGTCAAAATGAATGCAGCCTCAACCAGAGAGATCAACCTGCGCCTTTGATTTAAGGACGCCGGCGGCGCGGAACGCACTAATCCGCGACCAGCAAGTTTTCCGAAACCGAACTGAATAGAATTGTGACTTTCCAAAAATGCTTGCTGAAAATCAAAGAAAGAAGGTCCATTTTTCCACGTAGTTCGTCGGTCAAACCAACGATTCTCTTCTCAAAGTAATAGAGAGATCTTTTTCTAGTTAGACTTCTATCAATGCAATGAAAGAACCATCCCTTCCTATTTGTTTGTCCTGTCAGATAGAAAAAAATAAATTTTTAGCCCTTCTTTACCACTTTAGGGGGTGGGGGTGAAGGGGGGGTTTACATACAACCGAGGCAAAGTGGTTTATGATTGAATCTCAGAGGCATTCTTATCATTTGGTAGATCCAAGTCCATGGCCTATTTCGGGTTCACTCGGAGCTTTGGCAACCACCGTAGGAGGTGTGATGTACATGCACCCATTTCAAGGGGGTGCAACACTTCTCAGTTTGGGCCTCATATTTATCCTATATACCATGTTCGTATGGTGGCGCGATGTTCTACGTGAATCCACGTTGGAAGGACATCATACCAAAGTTGTACAATTAGGACTTCGATATGGTTTTATTCCGTTCATCGTATCGGAGGTTATGTTCCTTTTTGCTTTTTTTCGGGCTTCTTCTCATTCTTCTTTGGCACCTACGGTAGAGATCGGAGGTATTTGGCCCCCAAAAGGGATTGGGGTTTTAGATCCTCGGGAAATCCCTTTTCTTAATACCCCTATTCTCCTTTCATCCGGAGCTGCCGTAACTTGGGCTCATCATGCTATACTCGCGGGGAAGGAAAAACGAGCAGTTTACGCTTTAGTAGCTACCGTTTCACTGGCTCTAGTATTCACTGGCTTTCAAGGAATGGAATATTATCAAGCACCCTTCACTATTTCGGACAGTATTTATGGTTCTACCTTTTTCTTAGCAACTGGCTTTCATGGTTTTCATGTGATTATAGGTACTCTTTTCTTGATCATATGTGGTATTCGCCAATATCTTGGTCATCTGACCAAGGAGCATCACGTTGGCTTTGAAGCAGCTGCATGGTACTGGCATTTTGTAGACGTGGTTCGGTTATTCCCATTTGTCTCTATCTATTGGTGGGGAGGTATATGAAGGAACGAAACAGTGGATTGAGGAATGAAAGCTCGAAGACAAAGAGAATCGGGCTTTTCCAAAGAATTACAGCAGCTTTCCCACTCCCTTTGATTTTCATATACAAAAAAGTATCTTCCACTTTCCTACCAAATATCTCTTTATTCTGGCACATAAATGAAGGGATCGAAGAGATTATGGCAGATCATGTTCACCAAGAAATGACCCGAAATTTGATCTTGGTCCATTTGAGATTGTTCCTTTTAATCGTAATCAAAGATGTTTTCTTGTCTCTCGTTTCTTCTCTAAACAAATTGAAGAACCTAATGGATCGAATGAATGGAAGAAGCTAATGTGCTACGTAGCTGAGGTTTACTTTATAGTAGGCCCCAACTCAATGATTGCCCAAGAATTAGACCAGAAGCGGTTTTATTTACTTTTTCTTTGAATAGGACACCCACCATTTACGAGTCCAAAGATTAATTGACAAGCGGGAGGAAACATTTCACTGCTAGCTACTAAGAACCTAACAGAACTCTTTTTTGAGATAGTAAAGAAAAAGAAGCCAGAAGGTTATGAAATAAAGGTTTCAACGATTGCCCTTATTAACAAGAGCAGCCATAGATAGAGTAGTATATCCGAACAAATCGAAGAACCTAATGGATCAAACTCATCCTTGGCTGCTACGAAACATATCGGCCTTGCGTTGCGGAAGGAACGTTATGCTCTGTTTTGAGTTGGAGCCAAGAGGTGGAAGAACGGTTTCTGGTGGAAGCAGCTCTGAGAATTGGAGAAAAAGAGAGATACCTACAGGGTCGGCTGGCCTTACTCTGTCTAGAGGAAGCGTTGGTAGGGATTTGGAGGACCCATCAAGGTTGGTCCCCTCCACCTGTTCAGCATCCATATCATTTGTATTTCTTTTATTGTCACAAGGCAACGCAACATCTTCATCGATCTGCATTCCTTCATGTTGCCTTTTTCTAGGCTTGGAAATCATGGTGTCTTGGCCATTTTGGTTGCATTGTTTCCCATTGATGTTGTTCTGGATTTCCGACTCCCTTTCCCTCTTCCTTTGCCTTTGTTTGTTCCACTGACAAAGACAGGAACTATAGTAGATAGCTCGTGCTTCTCCATTGGCACTTTCTTTGACTGTTTGCCACTAACTAGGTTGCTGTCTTCTTCAAGATGGATTCTGTATTGGCATAACAGGCTGCTTTGCTAGACTTGTCTAAAGTGGAATTCTTTCAGAACCTAGCCTAAAAAAGAGAGCCATTTTTCGAGAGTTGTGACAGGTGATAAGAAGCATCAATGAGATGACTTGAACTGACCTTCTGTTGAAACCAAAATTGCCATAGATCGCGATTCTTCGGCTGATCCTCCTGTGTATGAGGGAGCAGTAGATCGTCGATTGTTTCATGTCACCCAGGAGTAGGTTTTCAACTCTTCCACTGGTGGATCGAACCGTCAGTCTTAATGGTCCAAGGTCAGCTCTCGTCACCTTGACTTATGGCCCTGCACCTGACAAAAGATTGCCTCAGTTCGGATAGTCATGGGAGTAGTGGCGTCTCAAGTGGACCATCACGACCACACTTATCGTTTAGTTGACCTGTGCCTTAAAGGACCCATGCCAGCCAAGAGGGGCAAGTGTGAGATTATGTACCTGGTCGTTTCTTGGACCGTGCCTCCCTTACTGTAGTTGCTTGTAGTTTGATTTTCTTCCCAATCTCATAGGGTACAGGTTCAAACCCACCCCCCTTATAGTGGCTAGGAAAACCCCCGAGATTCTATGGGAAATTGGAAACGTTTCTTAACTGCACCTGCCGACATTGGGATAGGACTGGTTCGTAAGCTTGTTTTATTTTAATTAGTTTCTTTATATATGAACCCAGTGTAAAGTAAGTAGAGCACTCAATGGGCTAGGGTGGCCTCATTTCGCCTTACTGCGTAGTCCGCTTTTCTTTTTTGAACTAGAAGCAACCGAAACAGGGAATTTCTTGTAATCGCCGCCAAGAAGGAGCTGGCGAGTGAAATCAACTGACTTCTCCCTTTAGAAGTACGCTTTCCTTCCTGTGTTGGTTCTTCCATATATGACCTCACTTGCCCATTCTTGCCTCAAGGTCTTTGGGAGTACATTGAAGTAGGGGCGGAATTCAGTTATATGTGCCTTTCTTCTTCCCATGAATCACTTCACTCTAAAGAATCTGCGGACCCGACGGTTCCCGACTTTATCCGGTCGTACCCCTGTACGCTCTCCTCCGTTAGAATCCATGCCTTCTCTGGATGGAACTCGTAAACCTACAAACTTTGTTTCGTATCCGGGTTTATTCACTTTTTAGATTATGGCTTGTAATCCTGGAGCCTTTCCCTTTACAACCGAGCTTGCCTAAGGACGGCGTAGAAGAGAAAAAGTCTAGGATTGAGATCTGAGCAGGAATTATTCCCGGGTGAGTGGCTACGTTTTAGGGTGGTAATTGGTTGCTTGGTCGAGGAGCTGCCCTTGGCAAGGAAGGAAAGGTGTTCCATAGCATCTGGGGCCGAGGCTCTGTTCTGGTTACCATAGTGAAGCACCTTTATTTTCAGGGCTTACTTCGGAGAGTACCGCTGCTATTCTTTGAGTATAATCCTGGCATCTTTCCTAATGAGTTCACCTTTTTTTTTATTTCTATTTAATTGATTTCAATAGTTCCCGTCCCGCTCCAGTCAATAGCTAGGTGGAAAGTTAAGAAAGATCTCGACCAGTAGTGCCCCAACATTAAGAGTACATAGTGGCTCGTTGGGGTCGGTAAACGAGTTGGAGTAGAAACCGACCTCTGAACTATTGAGTGGAGTAAGCACACCAGCAGGGGAGAAAATCTTTTTTATAATGTTGTAATTTTTATGTAGGAACTGCTTTATGATTGTTATTGATGGTTATGGTTGTTATTTAGCTTCTTTAGCAACTATATGGACTGCTTTAGCTACTAAGGGTCTTATTTATGGTTGTTATTGAATGATATAGCTACATTCACTACGTTCATTTAACCATAAGGAGCTCTCAATGTTGTTATTTATGGCTTTAAGGTAAGAAATAAGGTTAAGGTTTAGGGCTTTCTTTAATCCATATCGCTACGCTAATCTTAATCCCTCCTTTAAGAAAGAAACTACCCTTAGGAACCTCCTTTCCCTATGGTCGAGGATATTTAAACCTATGGTTAAGCAGTTGAACTCCTTAACAGTTTCGCTTTAACTACTTCCTTAACTTACAGGTAGTTCTTTAAGGTTTAGAATCCTAGGTCTCCATGAAGGACTTGGCCTTTTCTTTCTGTAGGGACTACCTTCTTCTATTGTTCTATAGTAAGCATCCTCTTGCTTTTGTCTGTTTAAATCCTCGGGTTGCTCCATGTAAATTTCCTCTTCAAGATCACCATGAAGGAATGCAGTTTTCACATCAAGCTGCTCAACCTCTAAATTCATCGTTGCAACCAAACCAAGAACTGCTCTAATGGAAGTCATCTTCACCACCGGTGAGAAAATATCTTCAAAGTCAATGCCTTGTTTCTGATTGAAGCCCTTCACAACCAATCTTGCCTTGGTTGTGAACTATTCTCTTCACTTTTCAGCTTGTACACCCACTTGTTCTTGAGTGCCCCTCTTCCTTTGGGTAGTTTTACTAACTCATAGGTGTGGTTCTCATGCAAGGACTTCATCTTTCTTCTTTCAAATTCTTCTCTTCTTGCTTATCACCGACTTTCCGAGCGTAGTCTGTAGTAGGGAGGGCCATTCTCGCAGGAGTTAGAGTAGGAACATGACAAACCATTATAATAATGCATTCTCGCAGGAAGTAGCATATTCATGTTGCCTGCTTTCGTTCCTTTCGTCTCGAAGGCCGGTTCAGTAAGAGTTCAAATCCTTCTAACTGGCTAGTGCATTAAGGTGGCACGTCTTACTCCGGGCCAGCAGTAAACGAAGTGTTAAAGTAGAGAGAGCTAGCGTTCCGTACTCAGCCGACCAAGCAAAACTCCAGCTAAGCTAATAGCTCTAATTGTGGGGATATCTAAAAAATATGCTCTTGTTTGTGGCCCTCCTTCTCTTCAGGGTAGCTATATTAGTCGCAATAGTCCTTATTAGTAAACTACGGCCTCGTTGTTAATTGACTCCCTGCTTCAATTAAAGCTCGCCCCTACCCTCTAAAGCTCTTCGCTCCGCGCGTTCAAATGCTACCCACGTTCAGTTCAAGCCTAGCCTCGCTCCTCTCCTGACAGTCGAGTGGCTTACGCTCCTAGTCCGACTAACATTGGGCTAGCTGAACCTCTTTCCAAGGCTGGATTGGATTCCCTTTGGGGTTGGGATAAGTTGAACTGTTTACTTCTACTACTCCGAAATCTTTTAATTCTTTATGGCAGTAGCTAGTTTAGTGGCATCTATCTTGCTCAGTTGTTTTCCTTTGGTCTGTTGATATTATCTTTCTTTTCTCACCCTCGGAAAACCGAACCAAAGCCAAAGCAAAGCTTCCCATGGTCGCCTTCGCTTCCTTGTACTTGTACTAAGATATGGTAAAATGAACACTAAGCCAATTCCGATGAAAGTAGTAGAAAAAAAGCAGCTTTCCCTGCTAAACTCTTCTCGGAGATTGCTTGACTACTAAACAATCGAGAAAATCTCTTCCCACGGAGCAACTCTTACTTAAATCAATTCCATCATGCCCTTGAATCAAGATTTCCTTACCCCGGAAAAGGCTACAGAGCCATCTAGCTGCCATCAAATAAAGCTTCCCCGGCCCGAGCATTGAAATTCAATGATTATATTCTTGCTTCTTCTTTTTTATTGTTGAGAGAATCTCTGCCAACTCTTCTTCCTCTTCTCGAGAGATCTTGGGATTTCTTGATTCAGGGTAAATGCACTTATTATAGAATTCCCTTGGTATGAAACAACAGTTAAAACTTCCTAGGATGTTAAAGTGTAATAGACATTCAATCAACGGATTTCAAAATCCTAGTAAACTCTTGTCTGACTTTGACTTCTGTGATTACTCTACGCTACGATATTGATTCTAAGGAAAGACAGAACTGCAGCCCAATTTCCGTTCTAGGAGGGAGCTTGGATGGTGAGCCCAAGCCTATTCTTTCCATTGAAAAAAAGTCCCTTAGGCATGGGACTGCTTCCTTTGCTACATATGCCTAACTTCTTCACTGGACGAATAGGGGAAGGGTTTGGCTGATGGACTAGTTAGAGTTTTTGGATGAAAGAGTGAAAATCAATCGAATCAAAGACTTGTTGCCTAGAAGTTTTCAAGCTTAGCTCGTCTTTCCTGCTATGATTCCGAACATAGTAACTATTTAACGGAGTGAAAGAGCTCAAAAAGTCTCTGCCGTTG